TTACAGTGTGGGTATCAGACCATACTATATAACAACAATCCACAGAAAAGTCAGGTTGGTCAATATAGATCGCAGCACTTGATGTTTCTTTTTTGCAGAATGACACGGCTCCAGTCTGCGTGATATGGATGCCACCTAATGCATTTATCACATCTGTTCCTGCAAGTAATCAAAGCTTTTAAGGCTAGGTCACGCAACACAAAGACATCAAAATTTGCTGAGTTAAACACTGAATTTGATGGTGTATACCGGAGTCTCATTATCGTTGAAATAACTTGTTGAGTTGTATGCAAATGGTCTGTTGAGACTGGAGGAAGTGAAGATATCACAGCTTTGAAGGCTAGGTCATGCAACACAAGGACATCAATATTTGCTGAGTTGCTACTCTTTTTGCCGATATTAACGGATCTGACAAACCGCACGCCCGCAATCTACCACCAATCCTCTCCACGTCTACGAGCTTTCCAGTCCACAACCGGTGTCGCTCTGCACTATGCATCGACCGAAAGCAGCCTGCGTCAATGAGAGCTGAACACCGTCTTGCCTCGATCAATACGTTGATCACAGGGAGCACCGCCTTTATATCTGGGTGGGGAATAGACTAGCGTTGAGGTCAGTTCCTCTGATTTGTTATCCAGGAAATTTCCGTGATATATGGCCCAGTTTGTCACAGCGATAACATCGTATGGCTTTGTCCCCATGCTGGCTCCCATGTTGCCCAGTTCGTCAGTACAAACAATATCTAGCCAAGTGATTAGCACCACCACATCTTTGTCAGACGATATCTCTCTGTGAGTCATTGGCAGAAGTCAAGTCTGTACTCAAATTGATCAGGCTTTTCGGCTGTCACAATCAATTCCGCCGCCGGTGAATCATTCTGCTGAATGGCTCTATCCCGGTCTAATAGCGGGTTGACATCCAATGCATTCATTCGAGATGGACCGCGAAGCAGCTTCCTGTTGTTTTCAGCAGGCACTAATAACAATGCACATGCAAGTTCACTGTCAGACAACTCTCCATACAAGGTTGCCAGCATGCGCTGCTCTGCCAAGTTGACGTGGACAGATCACAAACGTGTTCAGCTATTTCGGCTTTCATGGCTGACGGCAAATTCGACCTGAAGATAATCACTGAATTTGATGGTGTATACCGGAGTCTCATTATCGTTGAAATAGCTTGTTGCAATGTAAGCAAATGGTCTGTTGAGACTGCAGGAAGTGAAACACCTAACCGACTGCTCAACCACCAACTACAGGAATAACAGGGAAAGAGACGGCAAGTTACAAAAAATAAGACTCGGAAACTACAGCGACTTGAGGAACAAAATGACCACAGGACCAACTTCACAAGACACCGTGTCTGGTCGACTGCTGTTTTTCCTCAGGTTTCATTGTAATGAGACGTTTTACAAAAAAATGTCGTACCCTTTTATAAATAAGTATGAGTAAAGCATTTAGTGGGATATTCTAAAACATTACTTCAGATTTTTTTTTTCGAAAACATCGTTTGACAGTGCATTCTAAATTTTAATGTCAATATTGAAATTAAACTTTAGGATTTGAGTCAAGTTTCGAAACAGTAATTACTGTGTCGCAATGGAATCACATTTAAAAAAAAAATTATATATATATATATATATCAGCGAAATATCGAAATTGATTTTACCCATTTTGTAGTTTAAATTAATATCAGAATGTGCTCGACCTTAACAGGAGCCAATTATCAAAGTGTAGGAGAACGATCAGTAAGATTACAGCGTTCAAAATATTAATTTAAAAACAGTGCTCAATACACAAAGTAGAGCTGTAAATATTCATCTATCTCATGCAGTGTTACATTAGAACATGCATACATATATATATATTCATATATATGTTTATACATTCTTTTTATACATACAAATATTTAAGTAAATGCTCTGTTTATAATAAACAGTATTAAACAACATTTACCGGCCTGAATGTCCGAGAAATTTTACACAGAAAATATTCGTCCTCCGGCAGGATTCGAACCAGTATCATTTACGGAACCGTCATTTAGCTTGACATGCCTTTAACCGATTTGGCCACAGAGGAGCGTCTGGTTAGCAAGGTCGAATTTACTGTATTTGAACTTCAATCTTCTATGAATCTCTCACGTACATTCATATCTGCTCATGGCGTATAAAATGTAAACAACTGACGTCACACATTATGAAACGGAAAAAGTCCGACAATCATTTTAAGACATTTACTTAGATATGTGTATCTATAAAAAGAATGTATAAACATAAAAATGTCTTCAAATAATTGTCGGGCTTTTGTCCATTTCTGTAAATATATATATATATATATATATATATATATATATATATATATATATATAATTTTGTTGTTTTTTTCGGTTCCATATTCAGGTGGTTTTCTGTCAGTATAGGTTCTGAATTATTCTAATATCCTCCCCACAGAGATCAAGTTTACCTTCATTATTTGTCTTAAGATTTTTCTTAACAAAAATGCAAAATCGTTATCAGTGTATCTTTTCCTATGTGCAGCGCCGCTCAGGATGTGAGAGTTCATAGCTTTCCACGGTTTCGTATCCCTAAATAGCTGTCTCTAACTTATGCCTTTTTAACAATCATTCGACACCAGCTCCGCCATTAATTCTCACAAACGTTCAAGTAGGTATTGCGCTGCCTCTCACAGGCCCTTTTGTCTTGGATATGTCTTGAGAGTGTCAAATTCTACAAGACTTCTAACGTCTGCTCCTCTGAGCGTGTTGCTTTGTGGACTTAATACATTTACTGCTAAACAGGCGATTTGGGCAGGTAGTTCGCATTGGGCTATTCCGCTTTCTAAACAACTATACATTCTCTCTTCTTACAACTGATTGTTTGCCCTTTATTTTCGCGTTTTTTTGCAACTCTTCTGTAGGTTTTCCTTCAAATTTCTTTTTTCTTTTGGGGGACTTAACCTCTCACTCTTTTTTTCGGGTTGAAACTGAAGTTAACAGCACTTTAAAATTCCACTGGCAAGCCAATTTAAATAGTTTAGGGTGAAAGTTTTGTTTAAGTGAGATAACAGAGAAGAGATGATGAACGAAAACAGAAAGGCGTCGGTGTTGTATATTAGAAAGATAGATAGATATAATATACAGATGAGAAAAAGCATACGTTCACGTTTATCTGTATTTGTGCGTAAGAGTATAAGCGCGTGTTTAAAAGGTGGACACAAAATAAAATGCCTCTTCGCGAGACAGGTGAGAATTTTAGGTAAAGACATGTCTATACACTGCAGAAAAATAAAACGAAAGAATTAATTATTATTAAGCAGATGTCCTGCTGTAAACGTCAACTCGTTTAAATGTAATCTCCGTTATAGTTTTAGTAAAATCTGAATATTTAGCTGATGATAGTTTATATCGAAAAATTAAATTTATTTTTAAAGAAAGACGGTTCAACCTCAGCAAAAAAAAATCCATTATTCTTAGCGTAAAAGAAATTAATTGGTAAAACTAATACTATCCCGGTAAATTTTCACGATTTTCCTATTTGTATTTTCGGATGAATTGCAATTCTTATGTTAATAATTACGCAACTGTAAATATACTGGAAATGCGACCATTACATCGCCAAATATGTGACTTTTAGCATTTTAAGAAAATATGACTGTCCAGAGTATGACGATAAACTACATCCGGCAGCAAACGGGAGGCTTTGAGGGGCGTGGAATCATATCTTAAATGCTGTCGTTCCCAATTCGACCATGACTCGGGTGGTAACATCTGTTAAAGTCCCAGCTATGGGCAAATAGTTAACTCCCAAACCGGTGTAAAAACAATATGCAAGTATAAAAAAATATTTTTATAGTAAAAATATCAGAAATTAATTTTTGTAAAAGAAACTACTAATGCCCCCCAAGAAAATTAAATTCTGGCATTAAATAAACCATAAGGAGTTGTCATGCCGCACCCCCAACCCCGCCAAAAAAAAAAAACAACATTTCAACAAAATATAAAAATAATAATCATAAATATGAATACAGGCCATTATTTAAAGAAGTAAGAGGGTACAAATAAAAATATTTTAAAATGAAAATATTTTCTATTTTCCTAAAAGCTTACGGCCATATAAGGTTGAAACACCGGTTTCCGTACGATTACCGAAGATTGTTGTCCGCTTGTGATTACCAGCTACTGTAAGCTTGGATGTGTGGTGGTATAATGGAGTCTAGTTTCCTATCCCCCGTTGTATTCCATATATTAACTCACACGAAAATAGCATTGACAAATCTACCTATTTTCCCTCCATCTAAGTTTTACTTACTAAGACGTGTACCACTAAAACCATTAGTATATAATAATAAAATTACGCACAACATATTTAGTGTTCGGCATTACGTAACCTATAGGGGTGTTGATATGCCACTGAACAAAAAGAAGCAATATAATTCACTTCATTAAAGCAACCAATTCACTTCATCAAAAGAGCGATAGCCCCTCTTTCTTTCTTTCTTTCTTTCTTTCTTTCTTTCTTTCTTTCTTTCATTATTTCTTTCTTTCTTTCTTTTACTAAAGGCAAACAGCGTTTCTGTTATGTTCCATTACTTATCTGTGGCAAAGGGAAATAAATAAATAATGAAGTATGTAGGTAATTACTACAAGTTTCTAGGTGAGTTAATGGCCAAATTGATTCTAACCAGAAGTAACCACTGCTGCTATACCCAAATTTTATTGACTGGGGAGAGAAAAAAATTATATTATGATACGAAAACTTACAAAAAAATACAAAACCATTAACAGAATGTAGCTAACATATGCACTCTTTGTCAAATATTTACCTTTCAACGAAATACATTGAGTTTGCATTACAGGTGTCTTTGTTCTTTTAGCGTTCAGTTTATATTAAAGTTGAAATATCTTACATTTCCTATTTTTGTAGTTTACAGAGCGAATATATTTCAATAATACCGCGGGTTTTCTGGTTTTAATTACGCGTCTTTCGTGTTTAGTTGTAGGCTTAC